AGGAGCATTTGGAAGAGCACGGCTAACTAGTCTGAGGAATGTTACTAGCTAAAATTAAAACCCGTTTGCCCTTGTAGAAGCTAACTGCCTCAAAACTGTCTATGACTATGTTGAAATCTGAAACAGTTACTGTCAGGGGCTGAGGACATATCCCAGTGGGAAAGTGTAGAGTGGGGGCTGTGACTAGAGCATGCACAAGTCCCTGGTTCAATTCAGAAGGAAGGGAGGGAGGGAGTCAAGGAAGAAAAGAAAGAAGGCGTGTGAGTTAGCTAAGCTAAGCTACAGTACAGAACAATAAAATTTTACATAATACCTACATATTTATCAGATTCATATATGCACATAAAAACACACCACCTCAAAGTACCATAAAATACTTCCACCTTTTGAAGCAAAATAGGGCAACACTGAGAAAAAGAAAATGAATGTTTTTTTACAAATCAAGGCAAAAAATTTAATACAAGAACATCTAGAATTCACAACAAATTTGCCCACTAACATATGCATCAGTAAGGAAATGCAAAATTCAAGCAACAGGAATGCTACTAAGTCACAATTTCCAAGACTTGTAATGTCACAGGAACAATTTCAGAAATAACATGTATTATGCACTCAATTCAAGGTAATTTTAAAATGACTTATACATATATAGGTCATATCCTTCTTCCATGTAATAAACTGTCACAATACAGAATAACAAGAGGCTGGGTATGTGGCTCAGCTGGTAAGTACTTGTCTAGCATGCACACACAGCCTACAGCTGGGTCCTCAGCTCCAAATAAATCGGGTGTGGTAGTACAGGTCTGCAATCCTAGTGCTAGGGAGGCAGAGGCAAGAGGATCAGAAATCCCAGGTCATCTTCTGCTACACAGTGAGTTCAAGGCCAGTGGAAATATACAATGGTAGACATACTGCAGATATCTGTAACCCCAAACCTACAGAGTTTAGGATGACAGGAAGATGACAAGCTCCAGGCCACCTTGGGACCAACTAAACCTGTCACAAACAAACAAACAAACAAACAAACAAACAGGGGAGGATACAGGGTTGGAGCAACAAAATTAAAAGCATCCTGAACTGGATTTCCAGCACCACACAGCAGCTCAAAACCTTCTGCAGCTCCAGTTTCACAGGGTCCAACGCCCTCTTCTGGCCTCTGTGGGCACCAGGAAGGTACATCGTGCACAAACTTACATGCAGGCAAAAGACCCACACACACTGAAAAAACAAAAATAAAAACACAAAACAGGGCTGGGGACGTAGATCAGTGGCAAAATATCTGTCTTGTTTGCAAGGCTGGGGCCAGGTCCCCAGCCCTCTCCATCATCTTCATAGCCACCCCTGTAGAAGCAACTAAAACAACGCTCGGGTGCTAGTTTATCCAAAACCAAATAAATAAAACGTGTAACTCTGAAGTTTCCTCATTCAGAACCTAAGGGACGTTCACTGAGGGAATGCCTCCTGCCTGCGCCTGTGACTCACTCACACAGGCTTCTCCCAAGACTGCTGGATCTTTGACAACTCAGAAAGCCTAACTGGGACAGGCTGTGTAGGAAGCATCATGACAGTGAATGAATAAAACGGGAAAGAACCCAGGACAAAAAAAATTTTAAGTTTTCCTAAGCCACGTGTGCCTGTCCACACCTAGAATCCCAGCCCCAGGGAAGGAGGATGGTGAGGACCTGAACTGACACAAGCTACATATTGAGACAAGAAATCAACAAATCCCAGAGCTGGAGAGATGTCTCAGTGGTTAAGAGTACCAGCTGCTCTTCCAAAGGACAAGGGTTGGATTCCTAGCACCTACATGGTGGTTCACAGCCATCCATCACTCCAGTTTTGGGGAGTCCCATGTCCTCTTCTAAACTCTGAGGGCACCAAACAAGTATATGGTGAACACACAAACATTCAGAAAAAAATTCATACCCATAAAATAAATCGAAAATAATTTTTAAAGAAATAAATTACTAGAAAAATCACCCCAGCTCTGAGAATCTCCCTTCTCTCTCCAGGTTGGACAAATGCACTTACTGTACTACAATAAGCAACTGATTTTCTTGTCTGGCTTTCCAACCAGATTCTAGCCAACTTTTAGATAAGAAGGTGTCCTTAGAATCATCAGTACCTCCTTCCTTAAGTACTCAACACATAGAGGGGGGCTTTTAATAGATGTTTTATTGAAGAGATAATCTTCTATTTTTCTTGTACTGTACTTTTTTTTCTTTTTTTTAAGGTCAGGGTCTCATTATGAAGTCCTGACTATCCTGGAACTTGGGACATAGCCCAGGCTAGCCTAGAAAACAGAGATCCACCTACCTATACCTCATGAGTGCTGGGATCAATGGCCTGCATTGTCATGACCACTATCCTACGTATCTCAAAGTATTCATTTTTCAGAGTACTTTCACAAACATTATCTTTTTATCTACTTTACAATCTTGTAAAGAGGGAACACCATTACTGAACCAAGCGGCTTTAGGTTTTATAAAGAATTGCTAATTCACTAACTAAGACACCCTGAAAACACATGATCACATACTCTTCACCTCTAGGTCTTTCTTTCTTTGCCTGCTCTTTACAGAAGGCAGCGATCACACAGCTACACAAAATGATATTTGATAAAGCCCTTCCAGAAATCAACATGGAGAAGCATCCTAGGGTTAGAGATGGCTCAGTGGTTAAAAGTGCCTACTGCTCTCGTAGATTCAGTGGTTAAAAGTGCCTACTGCTCTCGTAGATTCAAGTTCAACTTGTAGCATCCATACCAGATGGCTCACAACTGCCTGTAACTCCAGCTCCAGACATGTGGATTATCTCTATCCCTGTCCCCCTCTTTCTTTCTGCCTTTCTCTCTCATGAGCAGGCACACACGCACACATTTTTTAATAAAAATCTTTAAAAAAAAATATCCAGGGGCTGGAGCGATGTTCAGCAGTTAAGAGCCTCTAGAGGACCGGGATTCAATTCCCAGCACCCACATGGCAGCTCACAACTGTCTACAACTCCAGTTCCAAGGGATCCATGGCACCAGGCATGCACATGGTGCACATAAATATGTATGCATGCAGAAGTCTGGCAGCGGTGGCGCACGCCTTTAATCCCAGCACTTGGGAGGCACAGGCAGGCGGATCTCTGTGAGTTCGAGGCCAGCCTGGGCTACAAGAGCTAGTTCTAGGGCAGGTTCCAAAGCTACAGAGAAACCCTATCTCAAAAAAAAAAAAAAAGTGCATGCAGACAAAACACCTGTACACATAAAATGAAATCTATATTAAAAAAAAAAGAAAGAAAAAGAAAAACAAGCATCCTCAGCTGTTTTCCCTGATCTTTCTCTTTTTGTACATGAGACAGGTAAGAAAATAAAGCTGAAATGATGTCACAGAGTTCCATCAATATCTGATGATTATGTAGCACAGCAACATAACAGATGACGCCAAGGGGCATGTTAAGCCACTGCTGATTCCTGATAGCATACAGAATGACCCTCCAATTTCCTACTTTTAGTTCAAGTCTACATCTTTAGCAAAGATACTAAGGAAATCTACACATTTCTATAAAAAAATGCTGATTTAGGAAAGGGGTGAAAATAGCCAAAGAATTAGCTAATATTAAATGAAGCAATTGTCATTTTAACTTTATAGTTGTCCTTAAAAACTGGCTGAAGTGCAAAAAACACTCAAGGCTCAGTGTAGATTGAATGTTATATTAAGCTGGATTTACCTAAAGTAAACAGTTATAGGATATAAACTGATCAACATGCAACAGAAGAGACACCCAGCCACACTAGACAATTGAATAAGCTCAGTTAGAAATCTGACAGAGAACATCCCTGTCCAGCTTAAGAGCTAGACTGAATTCTAAGTGATGGTGTCTCCGGCAATTTCCCTTGTCCCTTTAAATCCATGATGTCATCATTCTTAAGCACAAGCAAAGCCCGATTTGTTACAAAAGACGCTTGGTGTATCCAAGCAAAAGAGATGGTCCCAACAATTCACAACAGCACAATTCCAGCTGAAGCCATTCTTCCTCACTAAAAAGGCCACCAGGCATCAAACCTGCTTCTCTACCGGAAAAACTAAACCAAAGTCACTCAGTTACTAGCGTTTCAACAACAACAAAAAGTTGTTCCAAGAAAAACAACAACAACAACAAAATAATAAAATAGTCCAGTGTTGCCTCCAGCATGTGAAAACCGGCTATATGTCTGGTTCTGCACCTAGATCCACCGGAAGGCTACCACAGAAAAGTACAAACACTGTGGCCATTAAGACACGAAACGAGGCTTTTATTTTCCAGAAGATCCAACAGACAAAGCAATCGGTTGTTCCAAAGGTTTCGAACCAGCTCCAGCATCTGAAGTTTTTCGGCTGAGACTATGAGGATCTCACCCAATTGTGTCTCTCCGGATCTACGAACCCGCTTCCACCCTCCACAGTTCTGAGCAGACAATTCTCACCAGGGCAAGCCTTCCTCAGTCACAACGTGGACTGCTGTCTCCAGCAAGGAGAGCCGCAGTTCCCACTCCTAAGAGAACACGCAAACGGCTAGGGGTCAGGAAAGGAACTGCTTGGGTTTCAATTCGTCAGCCGATTCCAAAAAATCATCTCTCTGCAGCTGCAGCTTCCGAGACGCCGGCCCCTCGCCACCGCAACCCCAATTCGGGAGGGCAGCCGTCTCCCGCTCTTCTCCGAGGACTTAAGGGTTTCAGGGGGGCGGGGTGAGGCTCGATGACACCCCGAAAGCCATTCTTGCCCTGGCCACGCATCCTCTCCAGGCCCGGGTGAGGACCAGAACCGCCCTGATGAGGAGAGGGCACAGGTCTGCACCCATCCCCACCTCAGCCGGGGGAAACGATGACGACAGCAAGCCCCCAGGCCCGCCAAGACCCACGCCCGCGCAGGACACCGGGCCCGCGCCGGATTCGGGGTGTCCCGGGATCCCTGGGCATAAAGCGCAGGAGGCGTCGGCACCTGGCTGCGGCCCCGCACCGGGAGAGGCCTCACCTGGCCCAGCCCGCTCCGCGCTCTCGGCTTGGCGTCTCCGGCGACGATGGCGAAGGAGCCAGGGCCAGGGCCAGAGCACAGCCGCTCTGCCTGAGCCCGGTGCTTGCCGTGCTCGGGGAATCTTCACGGCTGG